CAAACTCCTCTGTGTATGGTTGGATGAGGCCTTAAGCGGCTCTGAAATATGAAATACTAATTGGAAGTCTATGAAGCCCTAACGCAGACAGATTCTGATGATGTGCCTCTGTTCTCTATTCTCTGCTTTGCTAGAGTTGATTGTTGTCTTGCCTCTTTCATTCTGAATTCTTGCTCATATATGTACCTCTCATAAGGCTTTACATATATATGTATTTATAGATAATACATACATAAAATAATGCTGGGAAAAACTTACCTTTAAAAAGCGGCGCAATGCGAAATGCTGAGATAAATCCAGTGCTCGAGAATTGGCCCAGAAATGATTGCATCACAAACAAAGGAACAATGAAGATGAATAAAACTATTATATAAGGCACAACAGACGCACCTAAAAGGGAGGTCGTTGAAAAAAATTTAAATTAGTCTCTTTTCGAAACCATGAAATACATATATAATTAATAGTTCAGGACTAGTGTATGACCATTTCGAGGCCTGTTAAGGACTATATTTGAGGACCTGTTCAGGGCATCATTTCGGGACTAGTTTACGATTATTTGAGGACTATTTTAGGCCTAGCTTTGTGCCATTTCGAGGCTTGTTAGGAATATTTTTGGACTAGTTCAGGTTCATTTTTTGTCAATTTTCGGACTAGTTCGGATTATTCCGGACTATTTCAGGAACATTTCGTAGCTATTCAGGCCCATTGCGTAGCTATTTCAGGACCGTTCACGACTATTTCCGGACTAGTTCTGGAACATTTGAGTCTAGTTATGGACTATTTCCGGTTTATTTCAGGACAGTTCAGGAACATTTCGGGACTAGTTCGGGATCATTTTGGGTCTAGTAGGGGACCGTTTCAGGATATGGTCAAGATTATTTCGGAACAAGTGCAGAATAATTTCGGTGTAGTTCGAAACTAGTCCCGATGTGGTTATGAAAAAGTTGCGTACTGGTTCCAACAAAATTAATCAAATGAAATTAAATTTTTGCTTATTTTCTAACCTAACCTATTTATGTATGTATGTATGTAACTAAATTGTCTAATGCTTTGAAAAGCCGTACGCAGGTTTTTACATATCAAATTTCATGAGAACTTTGTGCTTACGGCTTTTTTAAATGAATGTATTAGTTTTGATATACTAGTTAAAATTTAGAAATATCTCTTTAGAAAAGAAACCAATTTAATTTTTTTCCTTTTGGCAGCAATTTCTATAATTGTAATAACAGGGCAAAGGTAATTGAAAAACTTTGGTAAGATAATTGAAAGAGTCGGCAAGATGATTTGAAAGATTTTGATTGCTCTGAAACGAAAGTCTTACAAAAAAAATCGCCCTTGCCAACTTTCATGGTGAAAAGCTCCTTTACGGAAATCATTTTGCTGAGTGAGCAAGGCATTGGCGTGCCATTCGAGAAATTCGAGGTTCAAATGCTCAGCCTGCAGAATTTTTATTATTTAATTTTTTTTTTTTAATTAAGTTTCTTTTAATTTTGACACTTTATTATTTTGAGAAGAGAGGTATATATCTATTCAATTTCATACATTTTCTAGAAACTCATTTTACATATTCTTTAGTTTTTTGAAATTTATTTAATTTTTGTAAATTATTTTTCTTTTAATTTTAAGATTTTATTTTATATTATTTAATCTCAAGAACCTTATTGCATATTTTTCATTTTTAATTTAAGTTAATTTTATTATTTTTTAGGTTTTAATTTAACATTCCTTTAATTTTTTGATTTTATTGTTTTTTAGGAACTTATTTTTTTAAATTTTATTTACTTAATTTTTAGATTTTATTGTTAAGAATTTATAATTTTTATTTTTTTTCATTTATTTTAGAAATATTTTTATTCTTTTTTATTCAACAATTTTTCCGTGCTTGAGGCCGTTTTGTATGAAAAAATGTGGAAAAATTATTTATTTTCTCTTGATTTAGTTTTCTTTTAATTTTTAATTTTATTGTTTCAAAAAGAAAAATATTTTTTAATGTCTTTTGTCTTTCGAATAACGGTGGTGAGTTCAACGACAGTTGCCAGAATTGCTCTTGCCGAGATCTTTTTTTACATAGATAAATCTGGGTAATATTCATACATAGCAATCGATGAGAAATTCCTGAAATTATAAAAATTTGTATAAAGCGATCTAATTTATTTGTTGGATTTTAAAATGGAAACAATTTGTTTTTCGCTAAAAACTCATTATTCATTCATTATCTCATATTTGCATATATCTGCATGTACGTACATATGTATGTATTTATGTATTTGCGTATGTGTGCAAGAAAAAGCTCGGTTTCAAATTAATTGATAACTGAACTGGTAGGCGATTTATAATTATACATGTACATTAGAGTGGTCCAAAAATACATAGGAAAATCCGCTTTTTTGAGTTTTCCTGCTGCCACCCCAAGAAGTGAAGAGCATCAAAAATAAGGAGACACGTATTTTTTTATTTTGCAATCGGTTAACATTTATCAGCCGTTCAAACGATTTGAAAGAAATATTAAGTTTTGTAAGTATTTATTTTTGTTAATTTGCTTGTGTATTTGCGTATAATTTGGCAGATCGACAAATGATAAAAAAACCGCTACGTAAACAAAAAATAGCGTGCACGGTGTATTTGACAGTGTTGCCAGTTTTTACCCGAAAAGCGTTCCCGCACGTTTTGGTTATTCACTCTTTCTCTGAGAGCAATTTTGCTTTTTGATAGTTTTACAGGTTTTATCCACAAAAGTTTAGGAACGAAACTAATGTGTTAGCAGCCAACATGCATATCAATCTCTACTTACAACCCGCATATGAAAATATCACCCATGCTATGGAGAAAACATCTAAGCGGAAAGCTAAGCTGATGCCGGCAAATATGAAGTCGCTTGGCTTAGCCCAATAGCCGCGTGTCAAATCAGGTTTATAGGGCAGACGGCCGCTGTCGTATGAAGTTTCGTAAATCATTTTAAAAGCAAATAGCGATCACAGCTTTGTAGAAGTAAACAAAAAAAAGCACACACACACGCAACTAAAATTTTACGTGCAGCACAGTGTAAATAAATTTGCTATAATTTCATTTTTTTTTTGTTTCTATGTTCGCCGGCTATATGTAATTAACTAAGGTTTTCACAAAGTGATCGCAGTGATATGTATGGCTCGCAACGAAACACCTTCACATTGAATTTTTGAATACACCGATTTTTAAGCTACAATTAAAACGGCGTTCCACACACGCTGAGCAGTGATAGTCGACTGATCGAATCGCTGTTGCTTGGTTTTGTAAACTGCATACACGTATGTATGTATGTAGTATACATATGTACAAACATACATACATGCATATGTATGAATGTATCTGCATATATGAAAATAATCAGCAATTCTAAAAAATACACAGAATAATGGCCAGAGTACCTATAATGAGAGATACAAATTTAATTTATTTCCTTTTTTCAATGGATTCACTCCATCGAAAATGTTTACAGCTGAATGAAGGGGTGTAATAGAAAATTGCTAAATAGTTTGTTTTGGTACTCTAATTTTATAAATTATGCCGTTAACAAGAGTCTATCTGTGTATGTATGTATGTATGCATTTTTGTTTATTTCAAATCTCTCTAAAATACATAGGAACGGAAAAGATCTCTTATTTTGGTGTTTGCTATAAATAACATTCGATATCAGTAATGTAAAATTTTACTCTGCTATTAACATTTACACTTAAACAGCTGTAAACTTACAGTTCACACAGTGTTTAAATCACGGAGAACTGTTAGTTCGGACAAACTCTATTGTTTTGCCTGATTAAAAAATAAAATAAGATAAAAAATAAAATAAAGTTAACTTAAATGAAATGAAATTAAATTAAATTAAACTAAACTAATATAATTATATTAAATTAAATGAAATAAAATTAAATAACGTAAAACAAAATAAAATAAAATAAAACAAAAAAAAACAAAACAGAATAAAACAAAATAAAATAAAACTAATTTAAATTAAATTAAATTAAATTAAATTAAACAAAACTAAACTAAATAAAATAAAATAAAATAAAATAAAATAAAATAAAATAAAATAAAATTAAATAAAATAAAATAAAATTAAATAAAATAAAATAAAATAAAATAAAATAAAATAAAATAAAATA